GGTACCATCTTTAACAACTACCTCCAAAATTATAAACCTTTTTCTTTCTCTTTCAAATTTAATGACATTATCAATAATTACTTTATTCTTACTATTTTTTTTGATCCACCTTGTGGTGACATAGGGTTTGACATAGATCCCTATTATATTTTTTGCAACTTTTTTTTGAAATATATTCAAAACTTTAATTTAATTGAAATTGTTATAACAAATCTGAACTTTGGAAAGAATTTGTTACTTCATGTATTATTTAATAGTGTATTTTAAAGGTATATATGTGAACACGTGGACATCATAGATATTACATCATTATAAATAGTAAAGTGTCCATGTGAGCATATATATTCCTTTAAAATACACTATTAAATAGTGCAGACGGATAATAAGTCATGATCAGAATTTGAGATTGTTACAGCAATTTCGGTCAAAGTTAGGTAATATTTCGAACCCTTTTCCCTATTTTCATACTATTAAATAGTTAAACTATCATTAAAAAGATCTAATATCATGTTAAATCAATATTTTGAATCTAACTCACGCTCTTAAAAATCGGTTGTAGAGAGAAGAATTACGCAAGCCTCGTAAGAAGTCGAGCTCTCACTAACCATCAAAACTTTTATTATTCTTTAACATTATCGACCCAAAAATCAATATAGTTAAATAATTTATATTTATAATTGTGATTTCAACAATAACTTTGTCCAAGGTTGAACATTTTTATTATTATTATTTTATAAAGGGTAATATGGACTTTATTATTATTATTCATATATAAGAAAGTGAAATATTACTAATTTAATTGTGCAGGCGGCATACGAAGTATTCAAGAAAAATATAGAGAAAGCCAGTAGCGTTGAAGGGTCCGTCAGAATGGATCGACCTCCATATATTGAGGTTTCTCCGTTCACTTTTATTTATCTCGTTTATCGATACTATTAAAAATAGAAATTTTAAAAAATACGATTTTTTAAAATCTCAATTCACTAGAAAAAAATGCATGGGGATAAATAAATTCTTAAAAGACTATAAATAGCCGCTAGATATAATATTTTTTTTTATTGATTCAATTAAAATATATGCGGAAATAGTCACTACATATTTTTAGTATAAAATTTAAATAACAAATAGTACTTCCTCTGTTCAGTTTTATTTGTCATGTTGTGCTTTTCGTAGGTCAATTTGACTTATTTTCAAAGTTAAATTAGATTATATTTATTCAATTTTAAACAAAAAATTTAGAATTCAAAAACTATACGAAAAGTACTATAGTTGCAATTTTTTTACATATCAATATGATGAAAAAATATATCTTAAATGTTAGTTAAAGTTTGTATAATTTGACTCTAAAAATGAAAAATATGACAATTAATAGTGGACACATAGAGTAATTTTTTAGACGTAATACGAGAGTCAAACTGTATAGACTTTAACCAATATTTTAAGATATTCATTTTCATCATATTAATAAGACGAAGATTGAAACTTATAGAATTTTTTTTTTCCATTTAAATTTTTTGATTTGTTAGCACAAATGAGAAAATTTTAGGGTTACAAAATGTAATTAAGGTGAGATTAAGAATAATAATCAAATATTTATGAGGTGCAGGTGATACATGATAATAAGGAAAGCAAATTGCCACAATTAGTTTATATGTCACGTGAGAGGAGACCATCGAGCCCTCATCGTTTCAAGGCTGGAGCCTTAAATGCTCTCGTAAGTAATATTATTCTGCACGAAGTATCTCACGTTCACATAATATTCGATTATTAAAATTGAAATTTGGAAGAAAACTTTTAATAGCATAATTGGTTGAGTTTACATTTCATCAACTTTAACACTAGTTTTCTAGTATCAAGATTAATCACAAATAGTTATATAAAAAAAAAGTCTAGGAAATTAAAATGAAATATATTTTTTATATTATCAGATCATCTAAGAAAGTCAATCAGATATATAAAGTTTGATAAGCTGCAAAACATACTAACAATGTAATGACAGAGATCTTTTAATCAAAGGTTTTGATTTTGAATCAGCCTTGGTCGGGGCACCTTTCCTGTTAAAACGAGACATACATAACATGAATTTAAATTATTTTAGTCAGTATATACGTTCGGGATAACACATAAAGTAGTTACTAACCTAGCTACTTTCCTATATTTAAAAATCACGAACAATCACTACTAGAAATCGATCAATTTTTTGAACAATCACTTATGGTTATTATTATTTTGTGGTCATGACATGCAGCTTAGGGTTTCAGGGGTAATGAGCAATGCACCATATATGCTTGTTTTGGATTGTGACATGTATTGCAATGACCCTTCTTCAGCCAAGCAAGCAATGTGTTTTCATCTTGATCATAATATTTCTACTACTCTTTCCTATGTACAATTCCCTCAAACATTTTATAATGTTAGTAAAAATGACATCTATGATGCTCAATCAAGATCAGCATATCAGGTACCTACACGTCCTCTCACTACAACAAACAAAAATGATCATTAGCGGCATTTAATATGTATTTTTAGCGCCAATTGTCATTCTTTGTATATGTCCCTAGCCTTTAGCAACATTGGTTCTAATGACACTTAACTAATGCCGATAAAGACTTTAGCACTCTTTATTAGTGTCAATATTTAATGCCGTTAAAAATTGCTTTTGTTGCGGTGTCTTAATATATGTTGCAATAATTGTATTCTATATATTTCTATTTTTTCCACTTCATTACATATGTACAATTTTCGGGCGTCTACACGGTCGGGTCGGGCCAAACCTGATATACATATGTATTTGTATATCTGGAGAGCGAGATTGGAGATGGGGGTGAGCGAGATTGGGAGAGGAAGGAGAGAGGGAGAGAGTGGAGAGAGTTGAATTGTATATGTATATCTATCATATAATTGTATATATGTAAATGGTATACATACGTATTTGTAAATCTGGCAAGTGATATTGAAGAGGGAGGAGAGAGGCGAGCGAGAGAGACTAACTGTTTATGTATATGTATATAAAAGAGGAGAGAGACGAGAGAGGAAGAGAGAAGAGAGGCGACGTAATTACAACTAAATTTAAGTTGTGAGACGTAATTAAGTCAAACTATAGCTATGTTAACTCATTAAGTAGTATATGTTTGCTTATCCGTGTAATAGATGATCTGATTGTATAAATATTTTTGAAATCATCAGTACATACTCCTTAAAATCTCATTTCTCTCTCTCTTTTTTTTTTCTTTTAATTATAGAATAAGTATCAAGGGATGGATGGAGTAGGAGGGACTGTTTGTGCAGGCACAGGCTATTATTTGAAGAAAGAAGCATTATATAGTACTCCAATTAACCAAGATAATATGACTACACTTTTTCAAAAAGCTCAATTAGAATACAAGTGGGAATCTCAATTGTATCAATCAGGTTTATCTTATTAATTTACACATAATTGTGTAGTTTATTTTGTTTAAGCATATAATTCTATGAACATTTTATATATTTATTAATTAAAAATATGTATATTTGGTTTATAGAGGAGTCACTTCAAGAGGCAGAAGAAAAGTTTGGTGCTTCTAGAAAGTTCATTAACTCTTTGAATCATCAAAGAAATGGAAGGGAAAATGTTCTATGTGATGAGATGATTGATGAAGCTAAAGCTCTTGCTTCTTGCACTTTTGAAGAAAATACAAGATGGGGTAAAGAAGTAAGTATCATCCTATTACTATACTAGTCCATATATATTTTTAGGCACGTTAAATAAGCGGGTTGAACTGAATTAAAACGGCTAAAATGAGTTAAGTCATTAACTCATTCAAGATTAAAATAAGCCGAATTAACTCATTCAAGATTAAAATGAGCTGAGTCAAGATGGAATACATAATAAATCATAATCGAACCTGATGACTCTTTTTATGTTTAATTATATCAAATAAAACTAACAAAATTCCTTTTTTATGATCGTTTATAACAGGTATCAAATAATAATAATAATTGCTTAGCCCAATTTTTGGTATGACTAAATTGAGTGGGTCAAAAGAGATAAATTAGATGTGTGATATATTTATGACCTTATTTTGACACTTGTGTTAAATTATGTGATTATTTCGTCTAAAAGCTTAAACTGTTGTTTTCAGATAGGGTACTCATACAATAGTTTACTAGAGAGCTCATACACAGGCTATCTCTTGCATTCTAAGGGGTGGAAATCAGTATATCTTTACCCAAAGAGGCCATGTTTTCTTGGTTGTAGCACCATTGATATGAAAGATGCTTTGGTCCAACTCATGAAGTGGGCTTCTGGGCTAGTACAAGTTGGACTTTCAAAATACAGCCCATTTACTTATGGGCTCATGTCAAAAATGCCTTTAGTCCAAAACATGTGTTATGGATACTTCATGTTCTCACATTTCCTCTCCATTCCTTGCTTCCTCTATGGCATTGTTCCACCTTTGTGCTTCTTGAGTGGCACTCCACTGTTTCCCAAGGTAAAAACTTAATTTTATCACTCACACATAAGTATCTTTCAAAGTATAATATTATTAAAAATTCCGATTTTGCAAGTCGAAATGGACATATGAGTGATTGATTACTAAAGAAAGAAAGGTCAATCTTCAAAAGGCTTGATGGGACGAATTTCCTCAAACTATAGTGGTGATTAATGAAATTACTAGTTTATTTTTTTGTTTAACCATCTGGTATCCGAAACTTAACGGTGCGGCTTAAGTTAGTTTATGTTACATACGGCCCACTAAAGAGGAAGCATCCCCTACTATAAATTTCTTAAGACTCGAATTCAAGACCTTTAATTAAAATGAATTTTATCTATACCACTACATCCTTGTTGGTATACTAATTGTAAATTAAATAAGAGTTAGTGTCAGTCGTGTGTGAGACACAAAATAATGATTTTTTTTTTGAAAAATTCATGTACATAACTTATTCAATTGTCTTTATTTATTATTTACAGGTGACAAGCCCATGGTTTGCTTTATTCACAACCATATTCTTATCATCTCTATCTCAACATTTATATGAAGTCATGTCTAGTGGTGGCAACTTAAGAACATGGTGGAATGAACAAAGAATTTGGATAATAAAAACAGTCACAGCTTGCTTATTTGGATGCTTAGATGTTTTAATGAAGTGGTTAGGTGTTGCAAAGGCAAATTTCAGGTTAACAAACAAAGCTATAGATGAAGAGAAATTAAGGAAACATGAAAAGGGTAAATTTGATTTCCAAGGTGCTAAGTTATTTATGGTTCCTTTGACATTTTTAGTGGTGTTTAATGTGATATGTTTCATATTTGGAATGAAAAGATTGGTCTTAGAGAGGAACTTTGAGGAGATGTTTGGACAAGGTTTCCTTTCTTTTTATGTTTTAGTTCTTAGTTATCCTATATTAGAGGGTTTAGTAGTATCAAAGAAACAAAAGTAAAAAAATGTTTTCTTGAAATTTGTGTATATCATGTATAAATAATGTTGTGACATCAATATAAATGTTTTTGCTTTCAGTTTGTTGCATTATTAATTCACCTTTCATCTTGATTCATAATCAAGAAAAACGGGAACTAAAGCACATATTTTTATTTTTTTTTAAAGAATTTTGAAAGATATCAATCTTTCGTTATGTAAAAAGATATCTCTTTTTTTTTAATCTCCAAAAATTAAGAGAGAAAATAGTCTACTTGGATGGATGGTTTAATTTTTAAAAATTACAAAATCTACTATTGAAAAGATTACCTGTGGTGATCTGGTTGTGTAATTTTATTTTATTTTACACTACTTATATATGTAAGTTAAAGTTAATGGGATCTATTGATCGATATGTCTTGTCTTAGCCCACTAGTATCTTTCTCTTTGGGAGATAATAGATAAATCATATTGCAATAATCATGTGACACGTTTATTATGGAGATGTGATAATTATGTAAATTTATTCAAATATTGTATTCATCAAAATAATACAGTACGAGATAATTCAATACAACGAAACCATACATAAGCTTCAACTTATCAACACAAAAGCTTCAACCCTTTTTTAACTCCTTCATCAATAGCTTTCTCCCCTTTGAATTTTATCTTTTCACTCAATTCCATTGCCTTCAAATTAACTTGTTTCCTAGTGTTATCCTCTACCACTTTCTTTATTCCTTTTGCCACCTCTTCTTTCATTATTTCTCCATTTTCACCTCTCAAAATCTCCACCCCTATGCCAAGTTCCTCCACTAATCTTGAATTCAATGGTTGATCATGATTCATAGGCATGGCTATTAATGGTATGCCAAAACTCATGCTTTCTAACATCGAATTCCATCCACAATGAGTTACAAAACCTCCAATACTTGAATGGTTCAAAATTAGAC